TGTACTTGTAGTGATAGTTGTGATAGATATAGTTGTATTTGTGATAAAGATTGTAATATTTGTACTTGTAATGGTGATTGTGAAAGTTGTAAAATTTGTACTTGCAATAGTAATTGTAATGATTGTACAGTAATGGTAGTAGTTTTTATAATGATAGCAATAGTTGTAATTTTAATGATTATAAATATAAGAATGGTAATTTTAAATATTTTTTTTGAATAATATATTAGCATAAAACAAAAGTATAAGCATTAGAAGATTTTCAATTGTGATAAAAATTTTTCTAAAAATGTATATAAGTTGAAGTAAGTATAAATTGTTATAACTTCAAATATTGATATATTATGTTGAATTTCCAAATTAAGGTATCATTTCAACATACAGATCTTTAAGGCTTTTTTTATTAAGGCAGAGAAAATTATGCATATTATAATAAGAAAAAATGTATTTTATACCGGGGGTTATTGATAAACTTCCTCTATCTTATAATTGTTTTTAGTTTTTTTATCAAAAATTAGGATTAGGATGCAGTTTAATACTGAAATAAAGGTTAGATATAATGGTCCAATTTTTAGGTTACATGAGGTTTTGGAGGTTCTGAACATTATTACTTAACTTACCCGACCCCTATTTCTTAATCAATTTATTGAGATATAGCATCCTTGATATCAATAACCTCCGGTATAAATTATAAATGTTTTTATAATAATATGTATTTCTAATTTTTAATAATTTCATACAATTTTTTTTTATGTAAAAATAAAGATGAAATGCTTGAAATTCAGTTAACTGTTTGGTCTTTTATCTTTCATTTAAATTTAATTCCTGCAAAAAATTCATTATACTGTATAACTTATGGTATTATAAATGTATATATACAGTATATAGATGCCTTTTTCTTTCATTTGTTTTGAAATATAAGCAATTATGCAACAATACTATAAATAAAATCTTAATCATAAGCCAACTGTGTAAATTTGGATTCATGAAATTTGCTGATCCAAGTAATTTGAAAAACGCAGCAATCCAAATCCGAAGTTCTAAATACAACCGTGAACTTTTAAAAAGAGTATAAAGGCTTAAAATCAAGTCTTCATTCTAATTTGATTTCATTATTACTTGTAAAATTATTTATTCATTTTTGATTTAATTAATAGTATTGCTACAGGTGGAACTATTACCTATTTCTCGACTAGTGTGTGATTTACAATTAAAAAATTACACATATCTTATTTTAAGGCTTCTCTCAAGAAGGGTGATTATGGTGATCCGATCAAATCTGAGTCTTGAATCTGTAATAAAATTTATTAGTTTAACTTGGATTAGTACTCTTATGTACACCTTTCGCACATATGTAGCGAAATCAACTATACAAAAGTTGCGTCCTTTAAATAATTTTTAAGAGACTAATAGAAAGGCTTAACTATCCACAGCTATAATAAGCCTCCTCTACACTGCCACTCACCTTAGTTTCCATTGATTTTACTTTCGAATTTTCGGCCGATAAGCCTCATACATTAACAGCCTTGAGACACTATTCATTATAATTTAACAATATCCATTTTTAGTCCGTGGCAGTACAGTAAAATGATCATCTATCAATTAAAGTATTTTAGATGAGTTATTCATCTCTTATTTAATTCACGTTGATTTAGTCTTTATTGAAATATTTGTAATAATCCAGTCTACAACGATCATTTTACCTTAATCACGTTGATTCAGTATAAGAATACAGCGATCATTTATTAAAATATTTAAGATAGGCTACTGTATTTACCTTCCCTATTCATAAGGTAGCTGTACGATGCTGTCACGCAAAACCAGAAACGCAAATTTTGAAATAACATTATTAAAGATTCAAGTTCTTTCAGTATTATATACAATTTGAAAAAATTATGAGCAGAGTTCGGGATCAGTTTTATTTTTCTTATGCTAAAACCAATTTTAATTGTCGTTACTGTAAGAAAACTAAAACCGGTTCAAAATCTTAACTACGAGTTTAGAATTGTAATGACTTGCGATTAGGCGTGGTGTCAGTGAAGAGATCGAAGCAATGTAATAAATTAATAGATTTTATGAACGTCAGGAAACTGCGACTCGGTTGCTCCACAATCCAGAATCTCGATACGTAACCTTACGAAAGAGGAGTGTTTTGAACGAACAACGATTTTTATGGCGTTTACGGGGTTTATAATGGTAATAGTGATAGTGTAATATTATGAACGGCTTATAATCTTGGGACTTGTTATTTTATGAGAAAACGAGACATACTTCTCTTAGGGGCCATTTCGGCCTTTATTTATAATACCAACTTCTGTCCTTTACAAATACCACATTATTTAGTAAAACTATTTACAATTATTATTTTTATGAATTTTCCATTTTTATTTAACTACCCTTATCCTCCCATATGCCCTCCTACGTCCGAAATGCCGTCTACGATCTAATATGTAATAAATTGCACTTCGTGCATTGTTCACGTAATCGTATCACGTTTTTGGGACTCACAATTTATGATCGAAAGTTTAATTATGGGTATCAATAGTAATGAGGACTTAAAGAGAAGTATATCATTATAACGGTTCTATTACAAATCCCAACAATTATTTCGCTGACAGGCCATTTACTCTACATCACGTTGAGTGATAATTTATTAAACTGTCGCATACGTGATGTCGGTGAAATGATTGTCGAGAAAATGAGCAGGTACCCATTAGAATTACGCTACTTTATTATTTGATATGGAAGCATATAGAATGCTCACTACATTAACTGGGTGACTGAGACTTTTATAAAGGAGGCGCGAAATTCATAAAATGAACAAATCCGGAAAAATAATACTATATCTTTTTTACGTACTATCGAATTTGTAGTATAACAGTATGTATGGTTGTACCCGGTACACACATGTGCTAAAATTCAGAAGCTGTGCACTACTACAAGGTTTATCAAAAAAGAACTCTCTAACGTCGATTTTCATATCGCATAAATGGATAAAAAGCTACACCTGATATTCTTTACATCCAATGATCGATTTGACTACTTCACCTAATAGGATCCAAGATTTTGTACACAGATAGTTACCTGTAAACCATGCACTACGTTCCTGGTATATTTATTTATGTATCTAACGTTATTTATCAACCAAATTAATTACATTCTCATTTATTTAATTATTTATTATAGATCATTAAATTAAATATAACGACTATTTATTAATTAACTCGACCTTTTTTTTTATTCATGCTTGATTTATTATATGATTCATTCAATTTATTATTTGCTCTGATTTAATCTTTGAGCATCATTTTATCGAAAGTTTCAATAATTATACTAAATTCTCAATAGTACTTATAATTATTTTTCCAAAAACTAAAGATGCTATTTATAATATGGCTTAAAAATGAATCAAGTTAAAGAAGAGTTCTGCGAATACTCGTATGAAGGGTCCAATACGGCATCACTGTATAAAAATACCAATGTTAAGTGTTTGTATTTATCAATTTAAGTTAACATTTGGTCGCAAAATCTGAGCATTTTTGTTCCCAAATTTAAATTTGCTACCAAATTGCATATTAATCGATCAACGCTAAACTGCTAAACTCAAAAACGATTTTTATTTTATTTGGGCCTCTGACCCAGTGTTGTCATGGGACACGGACGCGGACAGCGGACAGTCCGGGACGGGACGTCCCGGACATGTCTGCCAATATTTTTTTGTCCCGGACAATTAATATTATAAAAGAATAACCGTGTTAGCCAATCAGGTTGTTCGATAAACCATATGACATGGGACAACCATCACGGACATGGGACATTGTCCGGGACATGGGACACTGTCCGGGACTGTCCGTGTCCACGCAATTTTGATGGGACAATGTCCGCGTACAACACTGCTCTGACCTATATCGATGACGAGTCTAATTCATCTTCCACTATCTACCTATTTTGATGCACTTCGCAAGATATATAAGTTTATATATAATGGTGCACTCTAACCCAGGAATATTGACTAGCAAAGTCAAGGATCGGTATCGTGTCTTAGTAGTTAAAGCTTTTCAAATTTTGCGTCAGGGTGTTTTACAAATGCGCAGTAATAAGCTACTATTCTGTAGGAGAGTGATTGCTATTGTGGAAACTACGGGTTAAAAAAAAAAAAATCCACAATAACCTCAAATCGGTCAAATCAGCAATACTAATAAAATCTTATAAAAATTGATTATTACTACATTCTGTGGAATTAGTGTGGAAAATAGATAAATTATTAATAGATTTTGATTTGTGTTACTAGACATTACTAAATTTAATGGATTTATTTACTATTTTTTTATGGCTTACTCTTTCAATAAAATGTCTTACCCTCAAAGATTTGCTTTAACTTTTATCGGGAATATTATCTTTCACGAGCAATTTTATCTTCGTAGAGATTTGTTTTTCTCAGGAGTTTCATCATTTTGTCTTTTGGGTATTTAATTCTGTAATTATTCAAAAAAAAACATTTTCACATAATAATCACAATACAAACATATTGTGAGGTCTAAAACGTGGCTTTAGTTTATTTATATTGACAGATTATTAAAAAAATAATAGCGATAATTTTCGCATCAAAATTATGACACAGCCTTTGAGGCTTTTTCTTTTACAAGACCTTATCTTTTTATCAGGAATTTTATTTTTTATGTGAGGTTTTATCTTTGTATAGTTTCGTTATTTCAGGTCTCTCGAAGAGGTGTTAACTTTCGTGAAAGGGGTAAGTTTTATCTTTGTCATTTCACAAAAATAGTTCGATTAATGATACGTAATAGGCGAATCATAAAACAAAGCCTAATATAACTATACTCAGAAATTATTTGATATAAGTAAAAATTTATAGTGGATTAAGATAATGAAGTGCTGTAAAAACTTTTAGTGCTTAGTCAGATAAACTGGATAAGAGTTCGTAGGATTAGCCAGCTGCAAACTATAAAGATACGTTAAAGCCCTAGCAACAGAGAAGAAAAATGACAAACTTTTTTAGATGGCTTGTAATGAGGAAGGGATGGGGTTATCCTTATTGTCTTAACATAAGAGATTCTGTAAGTAGTTACCCAATAAATTAAATTTGACGTTTTAAAAAGTTAATTTAAGGTCTTGGAAATCGTTAGATCGTATGGTCAGTAATCCCTGCCGTCTTTTTTTCAGCAATTATTGCCACTATTGTATGTTATTTGTATATTTTTTGTGGTTTTAGATTAATCACTTTAGATAGCACAGTAGGTAAGTGAAATAATTTATAATCTAATTCCTTACATTTATTATTTATTAACAACTGTTGTTTCAGTTAATACTATTTCTGCCTTACTCGGTTTTTTATTGGCTTTGCATGCAAGCCATACTTTTGAGAGATACTTTGAAGGTCGAAAAGCATTTCAGGATACATGGTAATTATTTGTGACAATGTAAACTTTAAGAGAATATTAAACCTCAATACGATAAGTATTTTTATAGTGGTTTGATTAGAACTGCCTTCCGTATTACTTGGACCAATATGGATAGAGTTTCTAACAAAGAGAAAGTTGTATTGATGAAGTTATGGCTCGCCTTCGTAGTTGCTACAATACATAGTTTAAGATCTGAAAGTGGTATCGACTCAAAAGAGATTAAAGGACTTCTTCCCAGAGACTTTCACCTTCAAAAAGTAGTTCAAATATCTGAAATAACTCCATCATCTAAAATAAATCCATGTATGGATTTACCACTTGAGATAATAGCTTATTTAAACCTATATTATAGTAAAAAATTTTCTGAAAAGGAGTTTGATGGTATATCGTTTGGCATAATTTCTGAAGCACTAAATGATTTAACTCGATTTTTGGGCAATATGCATACCATTAGTGATGCACCAATTCCTTTTCCATATCAGATTCACATGTGAGTATTCAATTAATATATGGATTAGCAAAAAGAATAAATTTTAATCATTGGTTCTTATAGGAAACAGTCTTTAAATATATATATCTGCTTTCTTTCACTTGCACTTGTTGAAAGCATGGGTTGGGCTACGATTCCAATTGTCGCAATAATTGCTTTTATATTGTTTGGTCTTGAAACTCTCGGTAAGCTTACACAGTGAATACTGTATATAAAAGTCAATATGATGTATTTAGGCATTATCTACCGAGCGAATGTCTATTTTTCACACTTAGCTTTTAAATTTTTTTTTATTTTTAGGAAACGAGATTGCAAATCCATTTGGTATTTATATTGATATGTACATTATAAAACCTGAATGTATTATTAATGTTTAGTAATTTTATATATCCACTGCTCCTGCACAGGTGATGATGAAAGTGACTTACCATTAGAAGAATTTTGCGATAATTTAGAATCTGAGATGGATTATTATATAAAGAATATTCCAACAAATATAAATAATATAAATTTATCTGACTCCTAGTTTTTTTATCCACTAGTGCTATGGGTGGTACTTATTTAGTAATTTAAGAACTAATAAATTTTAAATAGCATATTTTAGGCAAATTTTATTTTAATAGCTTTTATACTCACTGGATAGAATGAAATAACATAAAGAAGCATAGCGTGACACAAACATAAAATAATAGGTTTTACAATAAAAATTTTAGTAACCTTTTAAGCTTTCCTGAGCTACCTTTTTCATATTTCGATCAAGTGAGTACGTCATTTCTTAAAAACTTTAAATATTAAATTTAAGTGCATATAAAATTGGCAACCAGTTTACCAACAATCACACCTATGGTGTTTTACACCTATAGATGCTGGTGAAACTGGTGAAATTCTTGGTGCATGGTGGTAAAACTCACAGTACCTCGCAACTTATTTAATAATATCTATACAGACTCGCAATCAGTTATTTCAAAATTCTATACACTAACTGCCCAATTACAAAATCCTAACAAGCTATTCAAATTTAGTACATGGCCTTTATAGCATACTTTTCATAATACTATAAAATCCTTTAATCTTCAAATTACCTTTCACAAAGTTCAAGCCGGTGAAATTTAATATAGCAGCCAACCAGATTTTAGATAGTCACCAGTTTCATTATCTCAAAAATTGGGTAATTAATCCGCGAAGGATGTTCTAAGTAAAAATGTTCAACCTCAAAAGTACCAACGTAGCCAAAAGTCGAGGACGCAGTCATACGATGTTCCGTCTTATAAATTTTTTTTTCTTTTTACAATAAAAAAAAATTAATGCAAGACAAATACTGAATAAAACAAACTTTGCAACATTATTTGTCGAATTAACAATTACTACTATTGATATCAGACATGTTTTTCAAACGTAAGAAATATAAAAAAAAAACTAAAGCAAGAAAAATAAAATAACAGCCAACACCAATCAATCATGTATAAAATCTTTATTTAAATTGATATTAACTTTAACGATTGCAAATATATATAAAATGGGTGTCAATGTAATTATTTGACATCAATTGACTGAAAATATAAAAGTTGTAAAAGTGTATATAACAAAAATCGCCAATTTCCAGAGATAGAAAGTATTCTAACTAAAAACTTTTTCATAAAATTAATTATAAATGTATTCATATATGATTCGAAAAATAATAACATTCAGAAAAAAGCTATATGCGAACTAAATTATAGCGAAAAACCAATCTACATAAGTAATTATTGGAAGCGGTTTTTTAAATATTGGGTTAATCAATATTTGATTGTTATTTACATAAAATTTTAACCTTGTTGGTTTTTTGTAAATATAAGAAATATAAATAATAATAATAAATAATACGAGTGGGAAAGAAATATTTATGCGTCAAGGATCGGAGGCTGTGATTGCGTCCTCAACTATATCTATCGAAATTTCTTTAAGTTTTTGTGTTTGGGTTAAAGCCGGATTGGGTTTAGATTAGGCAAATAGATAGAAAAATCGCCCAAGAAAACCTTTTGTTAATGGTTTCTTATGCAAATTTTTGAAAAATAAGTGATTTTTACCAAAAAGACGTTCGCTTTGAGTTTTCTGCTCAATTATTGGTGACGCTGGTTTTTTAAAACTCCTATTAGTCAAATCTTAAGTCTAACCCTAAATATTAACCTTAACATGAAAAATTTTGTATTAAAAAGTTTATATGCAAATGATGAAAAAAAATACTGAAATTATGTAATTACCACCAAGTAATACGTACAGTAATTGCTTAATTCGATCACATTAGCCACATTCGTCGTATGCAACTGACTTTTATTATTGCTCAATCAGATGACTTTATTGAAACAGAGATAAAAACATATGGGAAATCTGTTCGCTATCGTTACAGGATCCACACTTACTCTACCTAAACCTCCTACAACCAGCTACAAAATAACCAATATGGCCATACAAAGGCGTTTTGTTAAGGAGAGTCTACATAGCTGCACAGGGGATCGGAAGCATGAGCAAAGTAGGGGTCTTTGTACTACTATAGTCATAGAGCCCCTTGTGCTGTAACAATAAAAGAGGTCTTTGCACTGCATTTGCAGCCGCGGAGCCTCTCAGCACTAAAATTGGGTCTTTGCACTGCAAATACAGCCGCTGAGCCCAAAATAATCACATTATTGGGGAGAAAAGGCGGGAAGACAGAGCTAGCCTTCTGCAAGGCGAGTGATAGCGAAGAGAAAAATAATCTTCTCTAACTATCCAAAAGGGGCTTAAATAATTCCTCAAATCATAAAGCCCTCACTCCTTTCGCCCCTATCATCAAACATACATCAAAATGATTACATTTACTTTCATTACCCATTTGCTAAAACTAATACAAACTATATTAACGAATAATCATATGCAATTACGTTACAAAACAGGAAGTGCCAGTACATAACAAGAAATTCCAAAACAATCTATAAAAGGCTAAGACGACAACGAACATGTGATTTATAAAGTCATCTGATTTCGCAATAATGCTCGCTTTGTCACTTCGTTGACAAGCTCTCCAAAGTATGCAATAAATGTACCGAATACTGTATAAATAATTAGGAGGATGAGCTTTTGAGAAGTATCAGTAAGATTAGATGTATATGATGTTTCAGTGATACTGTATCAGACGTATGTAATAGTTTTATTTCTCATAAATAAAGCACCTACAAGATCATACAAAATAATACATTTAATAAAAAGGGATTCTCTACAAGTAACTGTAGGAAATTACTGTTATGTATAAAAACCTAAGCCATTACTATCAAAATCACCATATTATTTCAACAATCCAAACCAATAAGAGTTGTGATTATAGTCAGAATTTGATTGTCTGATAGTCTTAAAGCAATGAAGATTATTCCGATTATGTCATGACACTTGCCAAACTCCAAAATTTCTTATTTGACCTTCGATTGAATAGATGACTATTTTCAGAGCGACTGACTCGCAGTTTTTATTCTTACTACTTAATATCGTTTTTAATTCTTGTAATTGTTTTTTTTTTGTGTTTCAACATATATTTGTTTGATTTTCATACCTTTCTGATCTTCTATTTTTCTTAGTTTTATCAGTAAAGCTTTTAAACATCCACTATTCTATTCATTTTAATCATCGATACATTATAATTTAAATAAAATGATATCTAACTGTGTTGATTTTTTCTGGCTCTTATTACCAAAATGTTCAAATAACCTACTAAATGATATGCTACAAATTGTAAAGACTATTTTTGTAGTAATTGAATAAATATCCAGATACGTATAATGGCTGGATAAACAAACAATTAATGTAAAAATATTAATAAATAAGAAAAAAATTATATTTAAATAATGTTTTAAGAAATTTATAATTAAATAATTCGGATTTATCTTTCTTTCCTCCCTTCAATCTAACTAATTTGATAATGCAATATAAAAGAAATAAAAAATTGAAAAACATATTGCCCAATACAATGATGTCGATGTTGTATTATAATCATTGCATTTGTTATATCCAAAAGTATCTGTACAATATTTGCTAATATAACCAAAATCTAAAAAAAGCTCAATATCACCACCATTAAGTGCAATATCCTAATCCAGATAACATAGCAAGAAAAAGAATCACAATATAAATCATAGTTTTTTAGTATAATATTTTATTTTATCTTCTTTTGAGACACAAATTAAATGAAATAAAAGTATCATTATTGTAAGAATCGTTAAAATGATATAATTATAAAGGTCCTGGAACTGTCTAAATAATATGAATACCATTTAATTCCAATAATCAAAGTATATATATTGATAGATGGAAATATAATAATATCTTCTAGTAAATTTATAAATGAAAGCTTTTTTTTCTTTTTTAAAACCACTAACCATCCCAAATACAAATACGGGAACTGGCAAAACTGTTAAAAGGTGGCGAAGCTGGAAAAAGGTAATAAAATTGATAAAAGACAAGAAAACTAATAAAAAGCAATAATAGAAAGTCAATTAAAGAAAATTAAACCATTTTTACTGTATATATTTAAACAAGTAAGCATTGAAAAGATTTTTATTATATAATCATACCATTATTCTAAGAAATTTCGCATTTAAAAAGTATTTATAAAAATTAACAATATAAATTAATAATACAGTGAAACATTCATAAGTGTACCCTCTATAAGCGCACACCCTCTCTAAATGCGCGCTTAAATTCGAGCACGAATACACTCTTGGGACCGAACTTTAACGATGTACACTATAAGGGAAAGTTCATTTATGAAGGTCATGTAAATATTAGGGCCTGTATTTAAGCGTGTATTTAGAGAGAATCTACTTATAAAAGGTGCACTTATGGAGTTTTCACTGTACTTTGTTTAATAGCCACATGCAAAATATTTTGACTCACCATCATGGCTCAGTCTTTCATAAGTCTTGGTGGGTTTAATCTTCTCTGTGTTTGACTTTTTCCAGACGTTTCAGCTTTACTAAGGGTTTTGCAAGAGTTCGCCGGGTTTAGCTTCGACTTTTGCCATTTGCCAAAAATGGTTTTGCCTAACAGCAGTAACTGGAAATAATCCGTTCATGACTGTATTGATTGAATCTTCAAATGGGTTATAATTATTTGATGCATTTTGTGACAAAATAATGAATGATTATATTTTTCTTTTATATAATTGTTAATGTAAATTTTTTGTTTTTAGTTTGCGATCTGTTCTAGATTTGCTAGCAATTATAAACTGTCTATATTTTACGTATCCGAAAATTTATAAACTTTGCGGAATTTTCCATAATTTGTTTTATTATCCGAAGGACATTACGATTCAGACAATATTGTTACACAAAGTGTGTCGTAAATCAATATGTATTAACAATATTATCGTTATACAAACTTTATGGTCGACTTTTTTTAACAATTTTATTAATATTATACAGACTTTATGGATTAGTTATACTATTCTATTACATTTTAAGAATGATAGCAATTTATAAGTTTCATACTCAACTCCCTACATATGATTAAGGTTTTGATTATGGATAAGAATCAATTGCAAGCACTATTTGTTTCATCATTTAATCAATTCGGTTTATAATTTATTATCTAAAGAAATCGGTTCTGGTTTTAGTGCGATTACGCTGCACAGCTACTAATATTTTAATACTGTTAAAAAATCAGAAAAAGTTTGGGCTGTCTTGATACCTACTTTAATCTATTCTTATAAATTAATTGTGTTTTATATAAAATGTATTGTTAAAAGACCATGACAAACTCAAAACAGACTTAAAACAGTTTTATTATAATTTTGAATTAAAAATCGGTACAACTTCATATAATACGATAGCTATATTTCTGTACTATTTTCAGATTTTTGATAACTTTGTACAATTTGGATTTAATATCAAATAAAGTCTTAATTATAAGGTAAGAAAATAAATCGAAATGGTAACACGACTATTTAGACAATTGTATAGTAATTTTACAATATTTGAGGTTTCTTTAAAGTACTCGGTTGAAATTTTTTTTTCAAAGTTGAAGTAGGAAGCCATGTTGAGTTCTATACATTCCTGATCAACCTATGCTTTTAAAACCTTATATATATATATATATATATACATAATTAGTGCATATTATTTAAAAGTTATTTAGTAAATTTAAACTTACCCAAATTTGTTTCATTTTTAGGTTCAGGTAAATTGACAAACTCATGAGTGACGCTTATAGTTTCGTTAGCCACATGGAAATGGGACCTGCTAAACGTGGTTTCTAATTCTGGAATCACTTGCTTATTGCATGACATTTTTTCAAGGTCTGTACTAAAATGCCGAAGAAGCGTCTCTGCTGATGGTCTCTCTGATGGATTAGCATCCCAACAACTCTTCATAATGTTTTGATAATCTCGAGGCAAATCTGAAGTAATTTCTGGTCGAAGCCCATTGCAAATATCTTTTGCAAGATTAATATCATATTTACGATTACAGAATGGATAGCATCTAGCTACAAGCTGCCACATTATCATTCCCATACTATAAATATCAGATGCTTGCGTATACTCTGATCTACATAATATTTCTGGTGCAATGAATGGCAACACTCCAACAACCTGTTTTTTTACAGCATCACCTAAGGCTAAAGGACCACTAAATTCCAAGTCACTAATAAACCATCTTTGTGAATTAGACAAAATGTTACCAGGGTGAAGATCTTTATGCACTATTTTTTTATTATGGATTTGACTAAGTTGTGAAAATATTTCTTTAAGTATAGTAAATCTATCTTTCCACGTTAAATTATTATCTTTACATTTTAAAAAAGCATTAAGATCTCCATTCTCCATATAATCAAAAAGCAATACCACCTTTCCTTTATCTGGAAATTTTGTCAATCCATGACACTTGATTCCATGCGATAATTGAGAGAAAGATTTAATGCGAGATATTACCTATAAAATTATCAAAGAACAAGATCATAATCAAATCTATAAAAATTTAATGCAAATTTATATTAGATTTATGGCTTACCTCTTCAATAAGTTTGTTATTTTGTTCATTTAGACCATTTATTAATTTTAATGCAACAAGCTTTGGCCCAGTTCTTATAACTTGTCGACTCTTTTCATTCAAACTAGCCACCCACCCATTAATCCATGTTGCAGAATAAAGCGACCCGAATCCACCTTTTGCAACGTATTTAATATCCTTTAAGCATTCGTATGGAACCCATTCAATGATATTTTCTAATGCTAAACTTCTTGAATATTGATTCATATAATAATTCTGAATAAGTTTGTCAATAAATTCGTTGTCAGATGATTTCAAATTATTTAACAAATACAAAACAACACAAAAGCAGTGTTTGTTGTCAGATTGTTTAGAATTGCATCGTGTACACCTATTTATTTTTTTTACAATTTTCATTTCATAAGTGTAAATTCTAGTATAATATTTTTTGCTTCTAGGATCTTGTACGAATTGAACACGTTGAGAAAAATTCTCTTCTGCAATGAGTTCTCTTAAATATTCAAGGCAAAATTTTTTTTCTTTAGGATTAAGTTCTTTACTTATTTGAATATGCTTTACGTGTTCATCTCGGTCTTGTATTCTTCCTTTTTTGACTATATCTTGTGCTTTTTCTAAATATTCTTTCACAAGTTCTAATCGAATAATTGAATTAAATCTTTCGTTATCGTTTGATGGATCCCTTTAAGTGTAAAATAAAAGAAATTAATGTAAGATTCTCATTATTGGTCATTTTAAAAACCATGAATAATCATAACTATTTTTTCAATACATGTATCAATCGTAATTTTGTTACTGATGCTATCATTAGCAGGCAAAAATTAAGAAATGTAATTTTTTGTATGTGCGTAAGTATGCATGTACGCACGTACATAATACTAGTGTTTATATGCAAGAAATTTCATTCACGTACATATGTATCACCAATAAATTTTGTACCGAGCATCCGCGTTACCTAATACATAGTACTCGGTGTTACAGATATTTGTGATTAAAAAGATATACGATACTTGTTCACATATATGACGTATTATATGTAATTGTAAATAATAAGAATCGAGCAGTCAACGTCGTATTCCGAGCGTTTTTTTCCTGTTATGCATAATATTACGCCTCTTAGACTAGTTTTCGGCGTAGTAAAATAGATTAATAAAATATTTAACGTCAAGAACGCAATGAATATTAGCTAAAATTCATACAATCAAAATGATGTTAGCAGAATAAAAGGTTCAAAAATGTAAGCAACATGCCCAAAATTTAATTCAAAATATAATTGAAATATTAGTTGAATGATATTAAATAGTTTCATCTAAAACAAATCTAGAAACAAATTATTTAGTTGAAATGAATGCAGAAATTCAATGTCAATTCGGAGATAATTTATTCATACTAGTAATGATTTTCAAATTTGATTACTTTATTGCGACATAATTATGCTGTTATATTAAAGAATAGGTAAATTTTATGCAGATAATTGGACTGAAAAAAGTGAAAAGATAAAACTTCCTTTAATGGCACATTAAACAATATAATTTTTTATACACAATAATTATTCGCCTAATATACTAAAAAAAGAAAAAGTTGTATTCAACAATACAAGCATAAGTAAAAATTGCAATAATGAGTTTTTCTGATTATTACTACTTGTATAATAGAATAATGTCAACTTTAAATTTTGAATTAAATCTGTTTTATATTCGCTAAAATCAAAGTAGAAAGTTTTTGACCAGTTATTACGTTAGGAATCACTGAATTATATATTATATTATAAAAAAAAAAAAAGAATGTATATATCCTAAAATCGCATATTCTAAACCTTGCATAAATTTTTATTATTCGAACAATTAAAATGGCATCGCTATATTTTTTTATATATGGATTTTTTTAACGTAAAAACTTCGAGATACTATATAAAAAATTTACAATATTATCATATGACTATGTGTTACACAATTTCAAATTAAGTTCTATCACAAGATTAGGTAATCATGTAGTAAAATTTTATTATGAAAGAATTTTTGGAAAATTCTCTCAAAAATAAAAATTTACTACATAAGTAGCTCTCCATAAATAAATTCTGTTGTTCGGACACGAACACTAATAATTATTTTATTGGACAAAAAAGCGATTGGCACAAAAATTTGTATAATTTTGCAAGAAGATAGGGAGAAATTGACACTGACAATCTAAAAGATTTTATAAAAGAAAAATAAGGAATTGGATTATCAAAGTCTAGAAACATTAACTGTAATATATAACCTAAATTTGTTAAAAGGTGTTACAACGTGTCACATCGAAAGACATAAATAAACGTACACACGTACGTACAGTCGGCTCCAAAAGTATATCACGGTTACACAAAAAAACATAATAAAAAAAAACATAACAAAAATTTATGCAAAAACGCATACGTAATAATTACATAAGTCAATCA